TAGAAGAAGAAGAAAGAGCTATAAGTTTAGAATGAAGGTAACAACAACTGAAGTTTGTGGAGTCTGTCTCAAGCAAGATGATCATTGTTGTGATGATGAGATAAAGTGGATAGAGTGTACAAGGTGTTTTCTGTGGGTCCATGAAGCTTGTATTGATAATACTAATGTTGAAAATGATTATATGTGTAAGAACTGCTCAAAATTAGTGTAAAAATAACTTTGTAATAAAACTACAAATTAAAATTAATTTAATTAAACTAATATTATTCATGACCACACCCATTCAATAAGTTTCCCGGATCAAAACGATGTTTTACGAGACCACACCCACTGGCTCAGTACTGTCGCTAATGGCTAGTACTTTTGCAGCCTTGCTATACCGGGAAAACGAGCTCCTATGCTTACCAGACTTCTTAGAGGACCTTATCTTGACCAGAGGACTCCAATGGTACCACTAGCGTGGCTCTAGACCTTTTCTGGGACAAAAATAAAAAATCTGCAAACCGGGCCGTTTTGTTCAGCCACCTTTTTTCATCTTCATCATCATCATCAAGTTAGTCCTGTCAAACCAGTTGTCGGTCGATATATCGATCTTGCCTGGTGATAGAAGGCTAATTCTTACACCATTCTACTCCAACAGGGTATGCGCAGGTCCTTGTCCCCCTAGAATCATTCTCCAAGAAAGGAAGAAGTGATACTGTGACTGTTGGATCGCACCGGCTTACCCCATGCCGCCATTTTATTAATTAAAGAAGCATCAAGCATGTACTCCAAAATTTGGGCGTGGTCGCGCATGCTCAGATCTCAGAACTGGGAACAGCAAGTATTTTTACCTAGCTATAGGCTAGCTATGCTTAGAATCAAATTGCAATACTTAGTGGAGCTTTCCAGCTAAAAGAAGGTATTAATCTTGCATATATCAAGTGTTTAATGAATTATTTTATTTCAAAAACACAAAACAATTAATTAATGTTATGATACTAATGATAATATGAACTTGACAACACTGAGGAAGAACCTGCAGGATTCAGCAGGAATAGCTACAGGATTGCTGGGAAGATAAAGCTTCTTGAACAAGGATTCACATCAAGACTATAGTATTCATTTCACTTGTCATCAGTATTCCTTCACCATATCTATTGAATTCAATCAGTGCTGTCCCTCATAAATGCTGGAAAATCATAACAATGACAACAATAATAAAGAAACTTATTGTTTGTGTAAAATCAAAAAGTATCACAATTGTAACTGAAAAAATATTATAAAAAAAT